CTAAATCCGGAACAAGCCCTCGCTGACCTCCCCGGGAATGGATCGCACTGAGCCAGTGTCTATTCTCCGACTAGAGCCCTTCGACTGCAAGCGGAACGCTATCTGCTTCGCGCGCAGCTCCAAATCTTCCTTAGCTCGTTGCGCTTCCCAGGCCCCGAACATACAAGGACAAGTATACTCTTGGTATCTCTTGGTGCTCTTTGCGGTTTGCATTCAAGGAAAAGTCTTCCGTATGCCCAAGAGTCTTGGGTGCTGGAGTAAGACTGCGGCGCCAAGACGCTCGCAATCTCCTGGAAGACGACTTCCAGCACCTGCGCATAGGCGGCGCGCTCGGAGTCGGTGAAGGCTCCCGCGACTCCGGCCGCCGCGTTCTCAAAGGGCTCGGTGGGCACGGCGAAATCGGGCTCTGCTAGGATGGGTAGGATGGCACACTTTGGCGTGGGAAGGCGGATGAGCCAAGATGCAAGGGCCTCTGACTGGAAGCACCCCGAGGAGCAAACGAGGAGCGCTTTCGCCACGTAGTCTGGGACGCGGTCCCCGGCCTTCAGGACCACTGGAGACAGCCGAACTTCTTTTCCTAGTCTCAGGAGTTCCAAGAGCACATGCGCTGTTGCAACCGCCTCCTGATTTCTAGGGTCCACCAGAATGACGCAATCTGGGCGAGCCGTCTTTCTCTCCAGAGATGATAGAGATGGCAGCACCCCTCCCGTCAAGGCATCGCAGATCTTGCCAATACCTCGGCACGCTTCCGGAGCACCCTAAACCCTAACCCTAAACCCTAAACCCTAAACCCTAAACCCTAAACCCAGAAGACGCATTCTTATGCCTCTAGGAGGCGCACGTTGGTTCAGGGCTTTAGGGCCTCTTCCAGTTCCAGGGTTTGCTTGAGGGTTCATGGGCACACATGAGTTAGGGTTTAGGGTTTAGGGTTTAGGGTTTAGGGTTTAGGGTTTAGGGTTTAGGGTTTAGGGTTTAGGGTTTAGGGTTTAGGGTTTAGGGGTTAGGGGTTAGGGGTTTAGGGTTTAGGGTTTAGGGTTTAGGGTTTAGTGTTCAGGGTTTAGGGCAAACGGTACCCTAAACAAGGTTATAACCATAGCCACCCTACTTAGAACCCTACTTCTAAGTAACCATTAACCTCCAAGTAGGGCCAGCAAGACGACCAAGCTGCTCTCCGCATCCAGTGAATGAGGGAAAGAGAAAGATTCCAGAGTCTTGATCCAGCGTAAGGTGCTGGAGACATCATGGAGGGAGATGCTGTAAGCTGTCAGGGCCTCAACGCCAGGAATGGCGAATGATAGATTCTCGTGCATGGTCGCAGTGGGGTCCGTGAAGTTTGGCCATCTGACGATCACAGTGTGAACCTGGGATTCAACACACACACACACACACAAGCAAGCAAACAAAAAACAATAAAAAGCCACACCCACACCCACCCACCCACCACCCACCCCACCCACCCCCACCACACACACACACACACACACACACACACACACACACACACCACACACACACACACACCACACACACACACACACACACACACACACACACACACACACACACACACACACACACACACACACACCAAGTCACTCATTAGGCACTTCCCAAGCATGCAATAATGGAATTCACAGGCAAAAGCTATGGGAGCCACAGGAGCCTTGTGCAATTTGGCGGTGACGATCTCGCCCACGCACCATTTGCGCGCCAAGATTCCTTGTTTGCTTATGATTGTGCCTACAGCTGCTTAGATGGCGGCTCGCTGCCCAAGTAAGAAACAAAACCGCGCAAGCACAAGCCAAATGTCCCGGGCTGGCCAGGATGACAAAGGTCTCGGAGTCCTGCACGAAGTTGAAGAGTTCCGTCAGATCCCGCAGGTTGTCGGTGTCCAGGAAAGCATTGAGGGCGGCGCCCCGCTGCTTGCGCTGCTGCAGCTGGATCTTCAGAAGGCGCGCGAAGCTGCCGGCGGCGCGCTTGTGATGGGAGAGGAAGAAATGCCAGGGCTTCCGGCTCCGGCGGACAAAGTGGAGGCCCAAGCCATAGAGAACGACGACGGCAACTGCCACTGGCATCATTAGCATGAAGAACAAGGAGATGGCAGTTGCCTGGACCAAGCTGGCATCGTCCACGCCGTGGCCGGCGAAGAGGGAGGCCATGTAGAGCACCACCTGCCACCCCTATACGCCCTAGGATGTACCCTGAAGCCCCAAGGCTTCTGGGCCTCAGCCTCTGAGCATTCTGATGTCAGCGTGCCGTGATATGTGCAGCTCAGGCACCAGCAAACCCACATGGAGCAGCGTGTCCAGCACATTGCTCGCAGGAACCCGCCAAGGTTGGCTCAAGGTCATCGCGATCAGGCTCAAGTAGAGAAGCACGTTCAGCGCCGCCAGCTTCACCGAGACAGATGGAAGCAACGGGCACAGCACCATCAGCGCATTTCCTTCGACGTTTTCTGAGAACAAGTCATCTTGAAACACACACCATGCACGTGCCGGGTGGCTAACCAGCATGAAGATGGCGAAGCGCTCCCCTCCAGGCCGAAAGCGCAGCCACAGGAATGAGCAGGCCCGGTAGTAGGTGGCATCGGCCCGCAGCACCCGTTTTGGAAGCTCCACGCAGATGATCCAGATGCACACGGCCAGAAAGCACAGTGGCATCAAGCACGCCACTGCGCCGATCACACTCATCTGCAGGTGTGCATCACGCAGGTTGCAAAACACCGAGGCATACTGTTGGATGGTCCTTGGCTGTCTGCTCGTGAGGCTTTGGCAAACTGCCGTCCGCCCGTTTGTTAAGAATCAGAAGATCTGTTGCAAACGCACCCGCGGCTCTTCCGGCCGTTGGGGTGGGAGTTACACTGAAAGGGCGCCACCAAGGCCGTGAAGATTCCGATGAACAGCAGCGACACGAGGGATCCCAGTGTCCGCAGCAGCTGGATCGAATCCAGCCTCACCTGCTGGTGTGTGCATGTTTCGAAGAAATCCAGGGGTACGTAAGTTGGGGGTCTCGATAATGTTAGGTAACTTTCCGTTTTCTGGAACTCCGACCTTCAAACCTTGCCAGACATACCTTTTGTAGGCAACAGCTGATAGGTGCAATGCCAGAGCAATGCCGGCCAGAATGGGGGCAACCGACACAGTGAGGACGTACTTCAGGACCGGACCCACTGTCGCAACGCACGGCAATGCAATCATGTCCAAGTCCACGCCGAAAATGGCGAGGGACTTCAGAATCTCATCGACGGGCGCGTGCCACTCGATGCCCAGCTTGCTCACTACGACCAGCTGCTGGATCAGCGTCACAAGCTGACTTACAGCCACGACGCCCAGGAACAAATGCCCTGGTTGTGTCGCCCGGTCTGCGTGGAGCGCCAAAACGACATAGACCAAGGCGATGCCGAACCTTCGCAGTCTCGCTCTCTCTCTCTCTCTCTCTCTCTCTCTCTCTCTCTCTCTCTCTCTCTCTCTCTCTGACTCAGACAGCAGAACGACACATCGAACATCCTAAACCATCCAAAGCCTGCATCCACGAACCTTCAAACTTCCATTATCCTAAACCCTAAGACTCTGCTCCGATCAGCTGGGAGGCAGGACATTGCCAGATTTCAAGCAATCCTAAACCCTAAACCCTCAGCCCTAAACCCCACGCCCCAAGCTTGTGAAACCCAACAAGGAACACCAGGGCCAGGACGACGAAGCCGAAGACGGCAAAGGACGTGGCGATGCAGGGCCCGCAGGATCCGTCTTGAAGCGGCATTCGCCCCGGGAGGCAGTCGTTGCACCTCTGAGGGTTCTAGGGTTTTAGGGTTTGGGGGATTTAGGGGTTCAGGGGTTTAGGGGTTCATAGGGGTTTTGGGGTTTAGGGTACGGTTTAGGGGTTTAGGGGTTTAGGGGTGGGTTCGAGAGGCTCATCGGCGCAGCTGCTTTGGGCGTCTTTTGGGCTGAACTGCAAATGTGAGCGCGTAACCGTCGCAGGGTCTCGCCCGGGTGCGCAAGACCCGGGAGGTCCGCCGGAACAGCGGGAGGCCCGTCCGAAGCATTTGTACACCATTCCTTCGAGGGCTCAGGGCTTCCGCAGGAATAGGCGGGTAACCCGAAAAAGAACCGAGCAACCCTACAAAAACCCTGATCAGCCCCCTTAAAACCCTACAAGCCCTGTAACAGCCCCTTAAGCCCGACTTAAACCCTGTAGATTCAATCAGCGCTCCGAGTCGGTGGCCCTGCAAACTGTTTGGGCCCTGAGCCCCAGCACCAACTGCTGCTTGGAGCTTCATGGTCATTACCTACAACCCTGCTTGTAAGTACCCGTGAACCTCCAAGTGACCCTTGTCCCCTTGAGGAAAGGCCCAGACTCCCGCGGTTCAGCGCTTGGGGGAGCTTTGAGGCATCAGGGACTTCTTCGGACACCCCCAAATTGTCCAGCCCCCATTCAAACTGCCCAAGCCCTAGGACAGATATGAGCCATGATTCCGTGTGTGTTTGCGGTGCTAGGCTTAGCAAGGTTTCGGATTCACGGGTTCGATTGCAAGTGCTCGAACTATCAGAGTACAGTGGCAGGTCGAAGCGTTTTCAGGGTTGAGGAAGATATGCCGTAATCGCATCCGCCAATCGCATCCGAGGATCCAGGCTCCTGCACGAAGAAGGAACAAACATGTAACTTACCGGGCTTGGCCCATCTTGAGGGCCCAAGCCTCCTGGGAATCGTGACGGCATGATCTGCCGGAAGGGGGGGGGTGCCATCGGTGTTTTGCAGCTGGGGGAATTAGACCCAAGTGCTTCTGCAACTTCCGCTCATGGCGCGGCCCACTCAAGGTGCGAAGATTCTAGATTGAGGACACGGGAACTCTCTCACAGGGGGGCTTCAGGAGCCAGCAGTCCGCAACCTCTTCTATTTTTCACACCCCTTTGCTGAGAAAAAAAACCCTTGGCATTTCGAGCCCTCAAACCCTCAACCCTAAACTCTAGACCCTAAAACCTAAACCCCAAACCCTAAACCGTGAGAATGCCCTGTCCTCCACGGTCGAGGAGTAGCCGGGAAGCAGCCGCAGCTGGCTCCCGAGGCACCGGGAGCCAAGGATGCAATGCTCGCATCGTCCCTGTGGGCTCAGAAACCTCGGCTTTGAAGACTACGTGGAGGCTCATGGGTATGTAGAAGTAGGATAAAAGTACCCTGAATAAGGGTTCTAACCATAGCAAGTACCCCAAGGAGGAGTTGACGGCGGTGCCTTGCGGGTTCAAATCAGCGCTCGAACCCCAAACTCGGAACTCAAGCTGTTGGAGTGAGGGTTCCCCAGAACCGAAGCCCCTAAGTGGTGCCTGCCCCCGCTTGCACGGTCCCGGAATCTGCCGTTGTCGTACTAAGCAAACCGGTGCTGTCAGAAGAGCGACTTGGGTTTGGGGTGTATGGAGTACGAGGCATTGACACATGCTACACGTGCGTAACTAGCTTGGCGAAGATTGATTGTTGCGACAAGTGGCCAACCTGCAATGCACGTGCAGAAAGACTCTGATGTAACTCCATTCACTTGAACCCATGTCTCCGCGCCATCAAGAACCATAAGCTGGCTGGTAGTCCAATGCTCGCTGCCGCAGGCATGACAGTAAGTCATTCCGGTAGCATTCGCATAACGACCCTGGTCGCAAAGATCACAATAGGCTCTGCCAGAGCTGTTTGCGAAGGTCCCGGCATCACAGTCCACGCAAGCAGTCTTGCCAAAGGCACTTTCGAAAGTTCCTGCAGGACATGGCTCACAAACGAACGTTGCGCCAGTGCCATCCAGGATGGATTTCGAGAAGCGGCCGGGACGACATGTCGCGCAACCGACCGCTTCAGAGCGGTTGGTGACGTACTCGTCCATGGAGTTTTGCAGCCCTTCACCCGCCAGGCATTGTGTGTCCACAGGAATCCACTCCGTCCAAAGGCTTCTCTTGCTGCGAACCCAATTGCAAGCAGCGGCCCATGGAGTTGCTCCCTCACGTACCTCCAACAAAAGGCCCTGGATGTCCTCCAGGTCCATCACAAACTCTTCCAAGAACCGGGAGGCCCGAGGCGCAACAGCGGGAAGGTGGCCCGACACGACCTTCTCAACAGAAACTTCCGGAAAGCCCGTCCTGTACTCATTGGCTGCCCACTCGCGTCTCGAGTGCCGCGGCACCGTGAAGATCCATGCGTCCAGATGCAGGAAAGTTGCGTCGGGATACCACCAGTAGAAAATCGTCTCAAAGTTCCCCACCACGGTCTCCCAGTGAGCTGCACCATCTTTGACGATGCCGATGGCTGTCGGCATGGCAAACCAGGTAGACCACTGCATCCAAATCTGGCAATGGAACGGATTGTCTGGGACGTATCAAGCCTAGTCCTAGTCGTCGATCTTTCGTTCATGTGTACCATGGCATTGGGGCTGCAACTTACCTTCTAGAACCCGTGAGACCCGCACCGTCAAAGCCCTGAAAAAACCTAAACACCAAACCCTGAGCAAGCCCGAGCGGCATAATAGTTCCAGCCAGACCCCGCCGCAATGACGGGAATGCACTCCGAGATGTTGTGACGACAGGCCTGTGTGCTCAGGGGACACCCCTGAGGCCTGAACCTAGAAATTCAGACATTAGTCTAAGAATGTTAGGGCACCTAAACCCTAAACCCTAGTATGGGCTTCTGGTTGGGGCCATGGCAACACGTGCGGGGCTTGGCCATGGAAAGGGCCCGAAAGACGATGCCGAGGAGCCGGAGACAGCCAGAAGAAGTCGTCCGGACAGTTGGCCACATATCCAGCTGGAGTTCCCACGATGCCTCCCCAATCTCCTGTCACCTCCGCGTAGGTCCTGATATGTCAGCTAGGAACTCTCAAGTATCGTTGAAGCCCTAAACCCCAAACCCCAAACCCTAAACCCTAAACCCTGAACGCCTCATCTCATAATCGTTGGCCGACTCGTATCCGCTGGCGTTGCAGGGAACAAAGTCCCCTGTGTCCAGGTCAGAAACCCTGCTGAAGAACTTTGCCGCGTCATGCCTTGGCTTGGGCCAGGAAGGACGGCAGGCTGGGGCTTGGTGGCTCTAAGATGACGCGGTTCTTGGGGGATGCAGAGAGCAGGGTTTAGGGTTTAGGGTTTAGGGTTTCTTGACGCCCAACACTTGGAGGTTAATTGGGCTTAGAAGTACCCTGAACCTCCAAGCAGGATGCAGGGAGGCGTTGTAGCTCCTGTAAAAGTCCAGGGCCAGACCCGTTGTGTAGTAAGCCGCTTCACGCACAGAGCCTTTCACATAGAGCGCCTCCTGGGGAGCTTCGAAAGTTAGACCTGTATTGTCAGTTGAAGTAAGATCCTAAACCCTTTTTGCAACGTACTTTTGAGTACCGCCCATCTTGAGGGAGCAACCGCCCAGCCCAACGTAAACCCCAAACCCTGAACCCTTTTTGCAGCAGGCTTGCAGAATGTCCCCTAAACCCTAAACCCTGAACCCTAAACCCTAAACCCTGAACCCAAAACGTGAAACAGACAGCCCCCCTCCTGGCCGACAAAGCCCATGGAGCCGAGCCTTTGAGGCGCCAGATTGGGCCGCGTGGTCTCCATGTCCGCGAGCTCCCCGGGAATTCCCGCGAGCCAGGTGTCCTTCAAGGACTTCAGTGGATGGTGGGGTTTAGGGTTTAGGGTTTGGGGTTTGGGGTTTAGGGTTTAGGGTTTAAGGTTTAAGGTTTAAGGTTTAGGGTTTAGGATTTAGAGGAGTCGAAAACGACGCTGCTGTCTACTCATGGTTATGATGATGGTTATGCTTTCTATCACTACCCTAACCTTGGTCGCTAGTTTGCGCAAAAGTGTTGTGGATGTTTGCGGTCCATGGCCACGTGGCTTCGCGGCCGTCTCTCGGTGCAGTCGTACGAAGCGCAGCCAGCTAGCTGCAAAGCGCCCGCGACGGAGGCCGAAGCCCTTTCAGTATTGAGCGTGACATTGTAACCCAAGACCTCAGAGAGCAAAATCGCCGTGAGCTCCGAGACCACCTCTGCAGAGAGCCAATCATAAACCACCATCCGGATCGGAGCCTCTCCAAGCCCACTTGCCAGGTCCTCCCGGACGTTCTGCCTGCTGCCCTCTGGAATGCCATCAAGCAGGCAAAGCTCGGCCGAGACGAGCAAAAAGCAGCCCTTGAACAGCACGACGGGCTGCCAGGGAAATCTGCCCATTGGCGTGGCGACCCCTAGAGGCTTCGGGTCCGGGCGTGTCGCTAGCTGAGATTCTGGGCTTGGCTGGAGGCGTCATTGGGGTATGGCGATGATCTAGGAACGGAGGGGAGGTGTACATCACGTCACTCACAAGCTTGGGCCGGACCTGCAAGCGACGGGACCGAGAGTTGGAACCATTCCGGCGATGCAACAGCCTTGCAATGGTACGTCCCCCGAACTTTGAACGCCTCGTAGCTACGATCCTGAATGATTCAGGTCTCAGGGTGGCCCCGGCTGCAGCCCTCCAACCCTTAGCAAGTCCCCTTTCAGAGCTCCAGGGCCTTATCTTGTGGCAAGGGATGAACAAGGTCTTGCGTGAGTGGGCGGTGAGGGCTTAGGCATTTTCGGGGTCTGGGGTATTGATGGCTGAGGGTCCCAACACAGTCTCTTCCCTGCCCACATTGCGAAGCTTTGTCCCGACGCCCCAAACCGAGCGACACGGGGGTGGGGTGGCTGACCTCAACATGCGCTAGGCAGTAGCATTCAAGAGGCTCTAAGGGCAGCTCTAGCACTCCCTTAGGGGCCTTCAGGGGTTGGGGGCCCAGGGGTTGAAGTGCGTAGAAATTACTTACAGGGAGATTCCACTCTGGACCACGAGTATTCTTTCTTTACGCTAGGTGGCTTGTGAAATGGTCCCATCAGTCTGCGATGTCAAGCCCTACGCCCAGAACCTCTTGCACAGCTATACCTACAAGCGTCAACCCTCGAGGCCCTGCCATCCGGAGCTGTAAGCACGGCTCTGGTGCTGCTGCTACTGCTACTGCCACTGCTGCTGCTGCTGCTGCTGCTGCTGCTGCTGCTGCTGCTGCTGCTGCTGCTGCTGCTGCTGCTGCTGCTGCTGCTGCTGCTGCTGCTGCTGCTGCTGCTGCTGCTGCTGCTGCTGCTGCTGCTGCTGCTGCTGCTGCTGCTACCTACTACTACTACTACTACTACTACTACTACTACTACTACTACTACTACTACTACTACTACTACTACTACTACTACTACTACTCTACTACTATACTACTACTACTACTACTACTACTACTACTACTACTACTACTACTACTACTACTACTACTACTACTACTACTACTACTACTACTACTACTACTACTACTACTACTACTACTACTACTACTACTACTACTACTACTACTACTACTACTACTACTACTACTACTACTACTACTACTACTACTACTACTACTACTACTACTACTACTACTACTACTACTACTACTACTACTCTACTACTATACTACTACTACTACTACTACTACTACTACTACTACTACTACTACTACTACTACTACTACTACTACTACGTCTACTACTACACTACTGCTGCTGCTACTACTACTACTACTACTACTACTACTACTACTACTACTACTACTACTACTACTACTACTACTACTACTACTACTACTACTACGACGACGACGACGACGACGACGACGACGACTACGACTACGACTACGTTTAAAAAAATCCCTGGACCCAAAACCCGGTCCCGCACTCGCCCTCTTGTAAGATCTCTACCGAATTAGGAATTAGGGGGACGCGCGCATGGAACAAATCACGAAGTGCCATGATATCTCATGACTCATGCACGTAAAACGTCACGCAAAACTGCCCCCCAAGGACCCCTAAACGAGGGGACTAGCGGTTACACCAAGGCAACTCCCTTGGTCAAGACTGTGTTTTAAGCAAAAGTGACAAACCGTTAGGAGACGATCTTGGAACGCCTCCTGAATCTAGTGCCGTGCAATCGCCCCGCACCAAGGTCTGCTCATTTGAAGAAAAAAACCCTAAACCCTAGACCCTAAACCCTAAGCCTGTACGCCTCCCGGACTTGCCAGCCGTGAACGCAGATTGGCACGCTTCAGCATCGATGTACAAGATCGTGAAGGTGTCCCCAAGCCACTTCCGAACCGGCACCCTTGTGGAAGGCCCAAAGAGGAGTGAGCAAAAACAATTCCGAGTAACTAATGTACCAATTTTGGAGTTCCCAGGCAGGTGGTTGTTGCATTCCGGGGTATATCCCTAAACCCTAAACCCTAAACACCCTCTTTTTGAAGATGCTCGACGTGCTCGAAAGCTTCCCCATTCCCAGGGGCCATGCGGGCCTCCGTCTCGCGGCCCAGGATCTTCTGCTCCTTGCAGGGTTTAGGGTTTTGGGTTTAGGGTTTGGGGTTTGGGATTTGGGGTTTGGGGCTTGGGGTTTGGGGCTTGGGGCTTGGGGTTTGGGGTTTGGGGTTTGGGGTTTCGGGCTCAGGGTTTAGGCAGCCTAAAACCCTAAACCCCAAACCCTAAACCCTAAACCCTAAGCCATCCCCAACAGCTCCAAGCATGCCTTCCCTCTTCTTCCAACCAAGCGTCCTTCTCCGGCCCCGGCATGGACAGCGTGGCCAGGTTGCCGCAGGACTCGATACATTTCCTTGTTGAGGGTTTAGGATTTAAGGTTTAGGGTTTAGGCTTTAGGGTTTAGGGTTTAGGAATTAAGGTTTAGGATTTTGTTTTTTGGGTTTAGGGGTTTAGGCGCATGGGCGCTGGATCTGGTGAGTCAACGTTCATGACCAATGGAGATATAAAAAAGTTAGTGACCTCGGATCCCTCTCTCTTCACACAAGAGGCGGAAGGGTTCCTAAGCTGCGGGTACCCTTCACGTACCCTGCAAAATCATGAAATCCTTATGATAAGGAACCCGTTTTTTCGGAATCAATGGTTTTTGCAAATCTGTATATATATATATATATATACACATACATACATATATATATATACATACGTATGGACATTTCAGATGCGGCTGGGGGTCAGCAAGATCGGGGCCGTGGTCTCGTAGAGCTCGCCAAGGTTCCTTCGAAGGAAACTTCCGGGGATTTTGGGGGCTTAAGGGTTGGTTCTTTTTCGAGGGGCGTAAGGGGGTGTAGAGGGTGTAGAGAGCTTATATTGTTTCTTGGGGGCTGATAAGGGGGCTTTTTAGGGTGTAGTATAGGTTTTATGGGGTTTCTTCTAGGGCTTTTGAGGGTTTAGGGGGCGGCTGCGGGCTTCCCTCCATAAACCCAGACAGCCCGATACCCCCGTGATCCACTATTTCCTTAAAGAATCCCCCAAAAAGCAAAAACAGATATTCTTCCTCATAAGGGCAATATAGGGAGTATTGTCATTTTTGTCGGGGCTCTTAAGCAAATAAGAGGAAGAGGCCTCAGAACACAGGGACTGTTTTGAGGGGCATCTGCTGTTGGGGGTTTGGGGGTGGTTCTTTGCTCCCGCATAGCTGGCCGAACCGCAGGCCGGGACTGTGGTTTAGGGTTTAGGGTTTGGGGTTTAGGGTTTAGGGATTAGGGTTTAGGGTTTTTGCCTTTAAGGTTTTAGGGTTGCGGTTTCGGGTTTCGGGAGAGGTCTCTCATGGCTGCATCCAGGGGGCCCCATGGCAACCGAGATGCCGTAGAAGCCTCGGTGCATCTGGCAATTGCTGCGTGGGCACTCGAAGTAAGTTCCGTTTTGCAACAGGCTTCGGACTTCGCCATACTTCGCCCGGAGTTGGTGCCACTCGACATAAAGCAGCTTCACTGCCGTCCAAGAGCACGCATTCGCCGATTGACGGCATCTGAAACTATATTACAAGACAACCTTTTCGAACGGGTCCTGAACGCGACGATGAGCTACATGAAGCTGAGGAAGCTAGATATCGCAGGCATCCTGTGACATGTACACGTCATGAAGTAAGTTCCCTTAACCCTAAACCCAAAGCCTTCAACCAGACGGCCTGGAAGTCAGGAACAACATCTAGGCATCTACCCGTGTGCATGTGACTCTGTGTTCGCAAATGAAAAAATACCGAAATGATGATTGAACCTGGGCCCGGAAGTTCCGACAGGCCCCAGAAACCCGAAACCCGAAGAGGGTTGCACCCAACAGCCGCCAAAGGGGCAGTACAGGAGCCCGTGCAGAGCTTCGCGGTCCCCCTGCAGGCCCAGGCGCGCTATGAAGAAGTTGGGAGTTTTGGGGGGCTCGGGTCGACTTTGAAAGTTCTAAGGGCAAATATAAAGTAGATGCCTTTGAGTAGGACAACTCGAGTGACAGCAACATGTGGACGTTTGGGAGGTACCTGTAACCCTTGGAATATAGGTATAGCCGTCTGGCCGCTCAAGAACCTCCCCCCCGACCGACCCCAGAGGCCTCGCCGGCTTTTTCGAGGCTGTGGGGTTCTGTTGCGGGGCGACTCTGGAGCGGGATGTCCCGGGGCCGAGGGATGGAGCCCTCGAGCTTCCGCATGCTTCCGCCCTCCCTTGCAAATCCTTCCCATTCCCTCTGAAAACCTCCCGAGCTCCGCTCGCAGAGGTTCCAGCCCTGCGGGGCCATCCGCCTGCTTCAGAAGCCCGGCCAGGCACGGACTCATCTTCCTTCTCATCTCGAAGCAACCCCCGACTGCTGCAAAGACGAAGGAACCAAATTTCCCCCCTATATTTGGCAAATTCGTGCACCCAAAGGGACAATCAAAAAAATGAAATCAAACAGAAGAAAGAAAAAACAACCCTCCACCTCCACCAGCTTCTGCATGTCTGCCACGACCTGTGTGGGGAGGGGGAGGGGGGGGTTGAACTTGCAAAGCCAGGTGTTGGAATTGAGGGTTCAGGCCTCAAGTTGACGCAAGCTGCGTTGAGCGTACGGAAGCACAAAGACTCGAAGAGGGAGAGAACATCTAGGAGAAGCCAATCACATTAAGCGGTGCCGGCTACGTACTCAGCACATCTACGTGTTACACATCGAGCACAAGCCGCGCGACAGAGGGCGCCCACGCGCCTTCCGCTGCATCCCCGTCGCAAACGGCCGGTGGCGTTCCTTTTGGGGCTTGAGTTGGTCGTTTAGGGTTTAGGGTTTAGGGTTTAGGGTTTAGGGTTTAGGGTTTAGGGTTTAGGGTTTAGGGTTTCCGCCTAGCAGACCCCCTCTGGGATCACTCCGCAGGGAACAGTCGTGTAACTTGGTACACTTCTCGATTTGTGCGCATGCTAATCTTCTCTGTATCGTTCCAAGGGTTTAGGGTTTAGGGTTTAGGGTCTAGGGTTCATGGTTGGGCGTGGCTCACAGGGTCGACAGGGTCAGACTTCAAAGTTCGCCCCTCCCCCTAACATGTACGTGTCCAAGAGATCAAGTTCTGGCCTGCCACGTTTAGGAGGCAGGCCGCATAGCGAGCTGTCATGGACTTACATCGCAAGGGCCTACCACCCTTGTACGCTTCCGGATGTTGCACACTATCCTTCAACAACTGCCTTCAACAGCGGCAGCGACCATGCAAACAAGAAAACCATGCTCTTGCCACTGGACCGATGTTTTGGTTGAGATCCATACTTTGGGATTCTCACCTCAACTCTGGTGCGCTTCTCGCTCCATAAGGTAAGCTCTTAATCAACTTGAGGGGTCTCAGGCAAAATCTGCTTCCTGTAGGGGGCCAAGGGCCGATTGCCCTTGTGAAGAATAGCAAGGACATCTGCGATACGGATCTGGACCAAGCCACGTCCCGCCAATGGGGGCTGAAAGATGCAAAGGCGGCATTGATGGTGACGCGATGGTCATCTGAGAGACCTCGATCGGCCAACGATCCAGCACCCTTAATTCAACTTGGTTCGTGCGGGGAACCCCTGACTACCTTGGGCACCAAATGAACCCAAAAGTCGGGGCCCTAAACCCTATACTACCAAAAATCCTCGTAAGTTATACGAACCATAAACCCTTTCAGCGTCCATCGGGTCCCCACGCTATTGTTCCTCATCTAAGGGGCATTGGGCTGGCTGAAGGAAAGCACCGCAAGCTCCCGTCCAGACCCGCCTCTTCTAGGAAACCCCCGGGAACTTTCGGAGCACCTTTTTAGAATATATAAACACCCAAGAAAAGGGACCTCTCCTTTTCGGAAAACATGGGCAAAGCTTCGGACACGCCAGGGATTAGGGAACTCCACCGCATCACAACGCAGGATCTGCCCTTCAAAGGCATCCAGGCAGGCATTTGCTCCACACACAGCAGTGTAGGGCTTTTGTTTCGGGCTCCGGTACATGGAGAAGCCCTCAAGCAGAATGTGGGCTACTGCAGCCTGTGTTGAAGCCCCAAAGCCTTTTGAGGTAGCTCTGCTCTTGACTGGACAAACAGCATAAGTAAACCCTATGGAGTGATCAATATCACGGGAGGGGAGTAGCAAAAGTGAATTTTCGAGTGTGCTAATTTTATCAGGGGAACGGATGACAAATCACCAGCTTAGGTATCATTATTGCCGGAACTCGTTTGAACACCTTAAACAATAACCAGCAAGAACCCAGCCTCTCTATGCCAAACCCGTAAAACAAAACACTACATATGAAACACTTCCAATACGAATACACATGCCGTGATCCTGAAGCTACGAGCGCAGCCCCGACGCCACTGACCTCTTCCCTTTTGCACCCGGAAGTATGAAAACGAGCTACCCAAAAGACTCCTCTCGAACCCTACAAGACCCCCCTTTCTTGGCCCCGACATCCCCCTCTCTCTCTCTCTCTCTCAACATCCCCCCTTTTTTTTGAACCCGTGCTGAGGCCGAGACATGTGACGGGAAACCGTACATCCTAAACCCCCTTCACTCCAAGTGCGGCGCCCGGGTTCGCAGTCCAGCCCAGAAGGAGGTCCACGGCATCCTCTCAAGGAAGGGAGGGAGGGATCGCGATGCCTGGGGGGTTCCTCGATATCTGCCCCCTGAGTCGAACCTGGACTGCGACCAGAAGGTGCAACAGCCGAAGATCTTGCAGATTCTAGGTGCGGGTGTCGGGATCTTGAGGACGGGCCTGCACGGGCCAATTGAATGAGAATGAGCACTTTCTTAACAGCCTTGTGTACTCTTGTACAGGCCTGATCAGGGGATGATGTTAGCAAGTACTGAAGCTCCGGCAGGACCCTAAACCCTCAACACTAAACCCTAAATCCGAAACCATAAACCTAAGGAAACCTTCAACTTCACGCCGTGGTTCGTGGCGTGAGGCCAGTACTTGAGGACGTATGGGGGTTTCCGACTATATCAGGGCATTCTCTTCTGCTTGGGGTATACAAAGGCTACCCTATTTTGGGCATCCGCCACATACAGCCCAGTGAACCCGCGCACCCGCTTTATTCAGCAACTACCACTGGTGTTGAGTTCCTGGGTAGTAGAAGCATTCATGGGTGCAAAAGCGATTGTTGAAACCCTCTAGAGACTACAGCCCTGCAAGGGAATGGCTGAAGCTGCACCTGGCTGCTGCTAAGGAACATTTTCCCCAAGTCTCCATAAGAAGGCAAAATCCAAAAGCATTCCCCCAGAATGAAAACAACAACCCCAAAACACAGCCCCACAAAACGCCAAGACCCCTAAACCCAAAACCCCGAGACGGGCCTCAAAGTAGCTATGGAACTCTCTGGGTGCAGCATTTGCTACGGCTGCCAGCGCAGGGGCGATCTCCCCCACCAGCCTCAGGCTTGTACACTTGTGGCTGGCAAGTTTCATGGTCTAGGTTAGCTTAGGGTTTAGGGTGGACGCTCTACAGTGACTTCCCAAACTTGGGGGTTCTGTCTACTGTAGATTGGGATCCACCCTTATCTGCCGGGAATTCGGAATGTCTTTCTTTGCTCCCACCTGTCTTTGTTAACACCTCGAAGGGCGAATCTGTTTAGGATGTAGCGTTGTGAGCACAAGTCTGCCGCGAATAGAACATACCCCACCTTCCTGCACCTACCCGAATTAGGGCCCAAAACGGCTGAAACCATGGGATCCCAAAACTGGATCCGTCTTTCTCCATCCCTGGCCACGGTACCGCGGAGACTGCGCCTGCTCCAAGACCTCTCGGGATGCCAAAGTGTTAGAGAGGCAGAACCCTGAACGTGGACAGAATGAGACGAGGAGGTCCACCGGTAGTTTTACGTAGGGTTGCCCAACTGATCTTCTAAGTAGGAAGAAGTATCGTTATCCTCCTACATCAAGCGTTTCTGAGAAGGAAGAGCTCTAGAAACGCTTAAAGAGGATCCTCCGAAGACCCAAGGATGGAAAAGATGAAATGTCCCCAGCTCCTACGTAGCCGGGTAAACGCTGGGCCTAAACAGAACCGAAGTTCCGTGTAAAGCATCATGGGCCTCAGAGCTGTGTCTTTCGTGATGTTGTGCGCGTACCAGCAGCAGTCAGCAGTACTAGTAGTAGTACTTGTGGCAGTAGTAGCAGCAGCAGTAGCTGTGGCAGTGGCAGTCGCAGTTGCAGTAGCAGCAACAAATGTTTAGGGGAGGGGAACCTGGGTCCCTCAAGGAGGCGCGCCTGGAGCAACGAACCCAAGACTTGGCCCGCCAGGCCTCCTGCCAGGGCCTGCTTTGAGGTTTCGTGGGCCTTTTGGGCCGTGAGGGTTCTAGAACCTATCGAGGGCTTCAAGTTGGCCAGGGTTCAGGGTTTCGGCTTCAAACAAGTTCTGGGCTTCTGCGTCGAGGGCTTGGCTTGAAGCTTGATGTTCTTCTAGGTTTGGGGTTGTTGGGCTTGAGATGCTTGCGCCGCTTGAGGAGGGGAGGGTCTGGGCATGATCCCCTTCTACCAAGCTCCGGCCAGAGTCTTGAACACTATGCCATTCTCACAAAGTTCTACAGGGGTATAAATGGGGGGGGGGGGGGGGGAAACCCTGAAAGCACAAGTCACCGCCACAAGACGAGCTTGGGCCTTGGATGGGGGAACAGCGCGCGGGCCTTCACCTGCCATGTGGCTTACTGAAACAAACCCTAAACCCTAAACCCTAAACCCTAAACCAGTGCCCTTGTTCTTGATCGGGGGACCCAAGTTGAGGGCCCATACCAGGAATCTCCCCTACAATGGAAGTGGCAAGAGTGCAAAGCCTATGCGGTCTCCACACTCTGAGGTGCAAACCCTAAACCCTAAACCCTTTTTGCAGCAGGCTTTGGAAGGTTACGCCCGGACATGCTCAGGCCATGTGGTTTTCACACCGCAGGAGGTTCCGAGGCCTCCAGGTTCTGAAGCCATGTAGCACTGATTTCACTGCAAAGGAGAATATACTGAAACATCTTGAACGCTTGTTGGGATACACTCGCTATCTCGGGAGAAGAAGCATCGATGGCCCAGGACTCTGCACGAACGTCAAGCACAACACCCTAAATCCCAAACCCTTCTTCGCTCTATAGACTCTCCCTGAAAGCTCCCAAGGTATCGTGCGTCGGCGTCATGGTGAGAGGGATCCGGAACCTCTTACGGAATTTCTACGGAAGCCCCGTATCCTTGTCATTCCCAAAGCTCCCACAAATCCTCCTACACTCCCCTCTCCTGCCCGAAGCACTAAAAGTCTCCAGACGCCTAAACCCTTAACGAGACAGCCTGCCCTAAACGTTTTTGTTGAGGAGGGGCTGCAGTGCAATTTTTTTCCTGGCGCCCTACACCCTAAACGACCCCTCAAGAGCAAGCCTGCAACCTCCAGATTTCTGCTTCACAGACGAGGGTTGCTTTGAATAGGGGTTGGCGTTGGGGGAGGCTTGTTGATGAGGTAAAAAAAAAAAAACTTCATGCCCCTCAAGCCATGTTTCGTAAATCCCTAGACGCCTACATTCAAACCCCCTTTTTGAACCCAGACTCTGTGCTGAGGTCAGCGGGGTGACATGCCCACACGAGCTAAAAACCCTAAGGCCCTAAGCTCTAAACCCCGACAGCAACACCTGAAACTCCTGAAGCCCATCCTGCCCCCCGACACCTTCCGGGCCCATGAGCTGCTTCTCCTTTCAGTTTAGGGGCAGGAAGGTTTCGGGTTTCGGGTTTAGGCCTTTGGTCTTAGGGTGTACAAACTCCACAAGTGAATGCTTGGTCGAGGTTTGCAATCCCTTCCTGCTCAACCCCAAATGGAAGAATGGAAGTATTGAGGTTTAAGGGGGGGGGGCTATACCGGGGCATAGAAGCCTTGTTTCCTGCGATCCGTTTCTTCAATTTTCCATATGCGTCATGGCAACAGCTGCTGGGGGGGGGGGGGGGGGGCGTGTGCCAAACAACAATGTCTGGGATCTGGCACACCGATGGCATTGTGTTTGAAACAGAGCCATTCTGCTCAAGTAGATGTGTGATCGACGGGGAGAGATGACAAGAGAGATACCGACAAAATTGCAACTCAGGTTGATGGTCCAGGAGGCGTCCGCAAGCATTCGCAAGCGTCCAAGAAGCGAGCAAAAGTCACGGAAACCTGCGTTTTGGGATCGCCGGGCTTTGTAAACGTAAAACGTATCTGACAATTACGCCTAGGACCTAGGATTCACCATCCTCGAGACTGTCGTCAGCTTCAGATTCACCATCCGTGCAACTGTCACTTTTGGAGCTTCTTGGTCCGATGAGAGAGATCAAAAGCTCAACGTGAGAGAGAGGGAGGCAGAGTGAGTGAGCGAGCGAGCGAGCAAGTGAGTGAGTGTGTGAGGGAGAGTGAGAGAGACTCATACCCTGAGTGCTTGAGAGGAAGCTTGGCTCGTATGGACCGGTGTGCATGCCACGAGTGACAGTCATGCGTTCGCAGCCTAGCACGACAATCCCTGACATGCCACGTCAATCTAAACCCACGCGGCGGACGGTGGCCAATGCAGTGTGTGAGGCAAGCGTAGGCTGCACCCAGTGCACGATGTGGACCCAAGGAATGAAGGAAACCATCGAACCACTGAGCGATACTCACGCAATAGAGGGTTTTTCGCTGAACTCACGCATCGACTCCTTGTTGTTATATTACTTCGCTTGCTCGTCGCTATGTCCAACCTCTCATACATAAGCAACAAAGCAAGTCGCTCGAAGCAAAGGAAGGCACAATGTCAGATAAAGAGAAGCCTTTGTTGGGGCTCTTCCCTGACTTAAAGTGACTTATTAAAGTTTGCCGCCGTTTTTCATGTGCATCCAAAAAAGGAGCATAACTTTCCTAAACCCTATACCCTAAACCCTAAACCCTAAACCCGAAACCCTAAACCCTCAACCCTAAACCCAAAAGCAGAGACAAGGCGCCGTCTCCAAGACACCCCGCAGCACTCGAAGCTGAGACTGGAGCCTTGCGGGGGAGAAGGCCCGAAACTCGAGGGACTACGGGAGGGTTTAAGGTTTAGGGTTTAGGGTTTAGGGTTTAGGGTTTCGGGTTTTGAGTTTAGTGTTTAGAGTTTAGGGCTTAGGGAGGGACCCTTGTAAGAGACTTTGGGGGGTTATTTAGGGGTGATTGTAGGGGCTAGGGTAGACATATGGGTTATATGGGGGGAAACCCTAGACCCTAAACTGCACAAAAACCCAAACCCATCGTCTTTGCACACTGAACCCGGAACCCCAAACCTGTCACGAACCCGAGGCCATGGCCTTATGTGAAGTAGGGTATATATTTCTTGTACCCCCAAAAGGACACCAGGTACATACACTCACCAATATTAAAAAGGAACCTTATATACACTCACCAATAACAGCAATATAAACCCTGTTTCATGTAAACCCGAGCCGGCCTCGGGAAAGGCGCCGCGCCACTGAGGCGGTCGAGGGCCCGGCGCCAGAGCGCTGCAAAGGCGCCAAAGCAAAGGGCGTAGAGGTAGAAGCACCTTGAAAGGGCTTCTGGGGTTTAAGGTTTAGGGTTTGGGGCCTCTTGTGAAAGAAAAGGCCGTCTTGGGTTTGGGGTTTGGGGCTTAAGGCCTTTTCCAGCTGCCATGTGCATGTCAGTGCTTTTGTATGCCGCTGAAAAAATTCGGAGGCTGCCTAGGCGCAGAGGTTTAAGGCAGAAGTTTGGCTCTGGGGTTTAGGCAAGGTGGGATTTCTGGCATGAGGCAGTCTTTGTGAGTTCCAGGATCCTGGTTGAACCCCCGGGCCCTAAATCCTAAACCCTAAACTCCAAGCCTTAAACTCTAAGCACGAACCCGGCCAACCGGACAGGAAGCCGGGCAAGGCCCGCGCTGCAGCAATCGGAGGAAAAGTTCGGCAACTTCAGCAACCCGCTTTTTCTTTCGGATGTTTGCGTGTATAGGTTTTAGGGTATGGGTTTAGGGGTTTCGGGCTTCGGGTTTCGGGTTTCGGGTATTAGGGTGGTTGAGCCTCCCCGCAGAATGTGCCAGCGATAGGGACTCCATGGCCACCTGCTTCAGGGTTCAGGGATTGTGTAAGACTTAGGTCATTGGGATGTTCCCCCTTACACTGGCAGTCCTTAATTTTGGGATTCTACTAGGGGGCACGATAATCCCTATTGGTAATGAAGGACTGCGAGAATAAGGGGGAACATCCCGACTTACGGACTTCTTGAAAAAGGCGCTTGGAGGTTCATGGGCAGCAATAAGAAGGGCCAAGAAGTACCCCTTTCCTCACGGGCCTACAACAAGGTAGAGCTAGAGTCCTACTTTTCTAAGCGCAGCTACACCCAGGAACCCCTGGGCGGATCCGAAAAGCAGATCCCCGCTAAGGTTCCGAAGAAGGACCCGATAGTCGTGTAGGTTCTACTTTTTGGTCCTTGGGGTCTGGGTAGAACTACCCATGAGCCT